TGGCGCGATATGGGTGAAGTTGATGCATGGAGTGTCCTTGTTTTTCACACGTCACTCTGACGGTGTTAACTACACTGACAGATACGATGAGGGCTGTGGGTACTAGAGGGAGGGGGGGGGGGAACCACACCCGGGCAGCAGGCGTAGACTGGAGATCCCGAAAGCCAAGAAGCCGCTAACGAATCTCCAAGTGAGCAGTCGTAGCCTAGGGGGCTTCGGGGCGCGGATCCCATCAACAATGGCGCGCCCCACTAGCGCACGGTTGTGCCGGCTTTCAATCCGGGTCGCAGTCACGTGCAGGTATGCGCGGGTACACGACGGCACGCGACGGCTCGGGGCGGCATTGTGCGTGAGCACGGATCCCGGTATTGTTGAAGCGGGAGATGGAGAAGTGATCAAGTCGTTCGCTCACACTTTGGTCCCAGGCTGGGCCATTTTTTTTTTCATTTTAAATCTGGCATCCATTTCAAGTTGAGATTTAGAACAAGGTATTTAAAGATCTAATTTCAACATCTGTAGGTGGCATATAGAACTCCTTGTTTACAGTTCGATGTTGGCATCTGTGAATGACATGTAGAACACGCTCTGTAAAGATCTAGTTTCAACATCTGGGGTGGACGTATAAAACATCACATCTAAAGATCTAGTTTTCAGATCCGCCGAGAACATACAATAAGTTGTATGTATTTAAAGATCTGTTTGGAAGACTACATTAAAATATCTAGTTTAGAAACCTGTAGATGAAATATACAAGACCATATTTAAAGATTTAGTTTAAACTAGTTGACAAAAAGAACATCACCTTTAGATATCTATTTAGACATGTGTAGTAAAAAAACAACAACAGAACATCACCTTTAGACATCTATTTTAGACATGTGTAGAAAACAAACAGAACAACATCTTCAGATATCTTATTTTGACATGTGTAGATGACAAAAAGAAAAGCTAATATGAAAATGTAATCACCATGTGTTGATAACATATAGAACACCTTTAGTTATATAATTTGGATATCTATAAATGACCCATAGTACACCTTATTTAAAAATGTGATATCAACATACATCAGGACAATAAAAGTGCTGATAGCAACCCAGAGAATATGCACTACTCACACTCTCACTCTCAGTCTTTCTTTTTTTCGGGGGGGGGGGGGGGGAGGGCACTTGAAATTTACGGAGAGGGGTGGGGTGGACTAAATTTACGGTGGGGGGGGGGGGCGACACTGGTAAAAGTATATATTTTCTGTATAAATTCTATTTCGCTCGGGGGGGGGGGGGGGGAAGGGGGGGATGGGAGGTAAGAGATGCCTGAAAGAAACTCTGCCCACACACAACTATTCAAACAAACCTGACGAAAGAACAGAAAAACATTTTAATAGCTGTCAGAAACTTTACTGATTTTAACAAAGAAGTACAGTCACGGGATTAACTTAAGAAATTATTGGTTTGGTTATCTGAAAATACCTTGATTACACCGCCTGTAGTCTCCAAAAGTTGCAGCGTCAGTTTTGTAGCTTGGTTGAGCTTTGCTTTTATTTTAGAACATTTTTTTGCCAGGAGTGACGTCAACATAAACATGGCGTGGTCGTCAAACCAATTGTGACGTCATATCTCTGATAGTGTCGCCACGATTACGGTGTCACCAATATTTCATTTCTGGCATTATAACTGTTGTGTCGTAACCCATGGCTTTGTTTATACGTCATGACAACAGCTCTAATACACTCTATTATACTAAACACTCTATCTATCACAGTAAGACAGAAATATTTAGTGCAGGAGAGGATGGTGGGGGTAGGGGTTAATAATTTTAAAAAAATGGTTCTAGTTTGTTTACGTTTTTCTTTCTTTCATGAAACAGATTTTGTTTACTTTAAAGTAAGTAACGAGATTGCTCATTCTAAAATATTTAACAAACCTGAGTACTGATCCTAACGTGTAGCATACTAGCACAAACCCTCTCACAGACGTATCTTCGAGGGCTTATTGTGAAACTTTACCAGCTGGACATAAACGGGTTAAATTTTGTTTAAACCAAACATACAAGTGTATTGAACATTGTAGGAATATTAATTGAGATTTAATAAGCACGAGATCTTAATTAAAATGACTCGTGGTGTGTAATTAAATTAATTACCCGAGGGTAAAAATGGGCTCGTCGTCAGGGGAGAGAAGCAGACTTGACCTAGAAGAAAGGGAAGCAAGGGAGACTAGTGGAGACAGTTTAAGGAGTGGGGGTAGAATTAAGAAAACACTGGGCACAGTGAAACATGATTTTGGACATTGGAGATAAAAGAAGAGTTGTATAGGTTTTAGCTCTCTAAATTTTTGAATATTTTGTTATGAACGTTTTGATCTAAAAAAAAAAAAAGAAAAATAATTCGACAGTTTAGTAACACTATTTTTTTTTTTTTTTTTTTGTGTGTGGAGGTCATACATGTTTGTATACGTCTCTTCTTCTTTGAAAATAAAAACAACGCGTTAGAAATGTATTTACATTAATTTGCAATATTCTACCACAATCTCAGCAAACGCAACCACACCCAAGATCTAAGTAACAACTTGTAAAAATTGTGAAATAAAAATAAATCATTGATAACTATTTTGAATGCGTTAGATGTAAGGGAGATAACAATTAAATAAAATCGTGTCATGTGACAATTAAATGGAAAAGATTAAAGGAAACTCTGGAGTAACCTTTAAATATGTTAAGGTTTTTTTTGTGAATTGTAAATAAAATGGATAAGTGCAGCATTTTTATCCCGGCCATCAGAAATTTATTGTATTTTACACTGATTTGCAAAATGTTTAGCATAAGCTGCTAAGTTAGTTTCACTTTACAGTTTACACTTTTTATATATTGTTTCACTATTTTCTGTATAAAGGGAAACAATCCAACTAATATTTTGGGAAAAAAATCAATGTTTGGTTACTTCCCTTTTACAACCCATCAAAATGATTTTTACTATTATAAGGTGATTGATTAGAGTTAGCTATAGCACAGAGAAGGTGGTGTTTTTTAAAAATTCATTGTACGTCCATTTAAATCAACACGTCGTTTTATATCATTTAAATCCACACCCATCCATTTCGTCAAACTTACCCCATCAATCCCGCCCCACACTAAACTTGATGCCATGTATCACCCCCCCCCCCCCAGCTATTATATATTATTATATATTATGCATGGTAGGGGTCTATCAAAACGTTATTAAACGTTATAGTATGTAACGTATGTTATGTAAAGTGGCGGGTCACACTTGACCTATTTTCGTATATTTTGCAAATCTTCTGTTAGAAAATAATCTGTTTGTGGAAAATCATGCACCTTTAATATTAAATAAAAATATCCCTTTGTTAAATTTTTATTTTAACTCGAATCGAATGTTTACACGGGGCTCCATTTAATCATTTTACACATTTACCATAAAATTTGAATAAAGCAAACCGTCTAATCATTTTTACACGTTTTACCATATTATTCGTTTCAAACCATAAAACACCTTTCCGCTCAACTGAAATGTTTATAATTGCTATATTAAATTTTTTTCCTTCGTCGCATGATGCGCTGAAGCAGTAGCGTAGCGAGGGGGGGGGGGGGCATATGTCCCCGGGCGCCGACCTTAGGGGGCGCCAAAATGGGTTGGAAAAATAATTTGAAAGGTTGAGGGGGGTGCAAATCGAAAGTTTGAGGAAGAGGTGCAAATCGAAACCATGAGGGGGGGGGGGGGGTGCAAATCGAAAGTTTGAGGAAGGGGTGCAAATCGAAACCTTGAGGGGGGGGGTGCATAAATCGAAAAGTTTGTCCCCGGGCGCCGGGAAGGGTCGCTACGCCTCTGCGCTGAAGGTGTGCGCAACCATCCATTAACCCTGGCCTGCACCATTAAACAACCACACGCACAGACTTGTGGTGTCGTCTGTCACACCACTGATAACCATCTCTTAGCGTGCACACCACTTTACGAGAACCTCAAGCTTAAAACAGCATTAAACGGAATAACCATCAATCTTTCACCCCAGCAGTACCCCCTCCTCAGCACCTCTCCCTACGACCGACTACGCTTCTATCCCGAGACAGACGAATTCGAGAAGTTAACAGCGTTAAATTCTATTTGTGTTGCTGTCGCGCATTTTTTTGTTTTTCTTTCATTGACGGAGCGTGAAGACGTCTACCTGCAAGTTGATTGCCCACCTGACACCAGTAGCGTAGCGAGGGGGGGGGGGGGACGGCGGGGGGGGACATATGTCCCCGGGCGCCGACCTTAGGGGTGTGCCAAATTGAAAGTTTGAGGGGGGGTGCAAATGAAAAGTTCGAGGGGGGGGGTGCAAATCGAAAGTTTGAGGGAGGGGGGGGGGGGGTGCAAATGAAAAGTTCGAGGGGGGGGTGCAAATCGAAAGTTTGCTCCCAAGGGGGCGCCAAATTGAAAGTATGTCCCCGGGCGCCGGGAAGGGTCGCTACGCCTCTGCCTGACACGGTACAGTTAGACTACACCTAGCGTGAATAACATGCAGTTATTACACGATCATGGAGGTGGTCTAGAACTCTTCAGAAAACAGGTGTGTCAGGTAGACTCAGTAGCAGTATTGTAATCACAGGTTTCTCGGTTGTATAAAGACAGTGTAGCTTTATAGAGTCGTCATGCTTTACAAAGCTAGACACTTTAAAAAAACAAGCTACAAAATCAGTAAAAGAACGTTTCTCCACACTCCAAACTTGTCCCTCCAGCCCCTATCAGATGTAAAATATAAAGCTACCCCCCAACTCTTCTATAAGCCCCCCCCCCCCCGTCCTCCCTCCCGCAAACACCGCACTCCCAGTAGATCTGAAATCTGTATGAAAACAAATTTAATCGCAAGCCCCGCCTCCTCAGCTCCACTTCCTGATCACGTGACATCTGAGGCGCCATTGGTCGCCTGAAAATCTGTGTGCTGAATTCCAACAAAACTAAAACACTGCGGGTTTGTTTTTTTTCTTTCCACGCAAAGATTATACTCTCTAAACTTTTCAACATTGTCTACACAGCTTTTCGATTTGTTGAAAAAATATGTTCATTACCATTTATTTTTCTTTGTGTGCAAATTAATAATCTACCTTTATTGTATTTAAAAAAATATATAAGGACTATATTCTGTGGATTAACTAGTTTTTTTCAAAATCAATACAATCGATTAAAAGCTGTTTATGTTAAACACACTCTCTAAAAGTATGCGATAATAAAGATGGCCGGTTCTAATTGCCAAAAATGGACGTTAATTTGTCGAAACAGATCGCGAAATTTGCGAATTCTGTTTCGACTCTTATTCGGGTTAGGGTTTATAGTTCTCTGCGTTTTTATCAGTAGTTACTCAGGCACGCTTAGTAATAAACTGCGTGGTGTTTACTTTGCTGATAATCAAGGGAAAATAGTGAGCGATGGTGACCATTCGACACTGCACAAACGCAGCCCCTTTATTCGGGAAAGGTCACAAAACAAGGCGGATAATGATGTGTCGCCCAAGAGGTAAGTTACTGCTTAATTAATCTTAAAATAACTATTTTATTATTATTTTTTTTTGACGTATGCTTTAATCATTGAGTATATCGTGATTTTCTAATTAGACCTAATTAAGCATGACATGTTTGATTTTAGAGTGAGCTACCTCGCCATTTATTTTAAAGTAAACAAAATCTGTTTAATGAAAGAAAGAAAAACGTAAACAAACAAGACCCTGTTTTTTTTTATCAACCTGGTGATTGGACTTTTTCAAAATGAACATTTTTTTTAACTAGGCAGAGAGGCGTTGTTCGTCCGTAATTGACGCCATGTCGTTTTAACCGATTTCCTCCCTCCCCTCTATTCCACTACAATATCGTCACACAAGATAGTCACTCCCGCCCGATATAAAATGACCGTCTCCCCCAATATGAAAACAACCATACCTTTAACGTAACATCATGTTTTTTTAACATGTTTTACCTTTAAAAAATGTCTCTTACTCTAACCGTTCCACCCTCCCCCTCCCCTCTCCCTGTTGGTTTTTCTCTCCACAAGAGACATTTTAAAAATAAATCTTAGTGCTAAGGGGTCATCAGTAATCGAAATCATGTTTTTGTTCAATATTTTTACCTCATCCACTCTCCATAGCCACACAAAAAGTCTGAATAGCGTTGTAATATGATGAACAGGATTGGTCTGTTTTTTTTTTTTTTTTTTTTTTTTTGTATTGTTTTTCAACGAACTATGACGACATGGGTAGAGGGTACAAATCGTCTCAACTTGAGTGTCATCGGTTAAGAAAGCCCGTTATTTTCTCAAGTCAAATATTTGTCAAAATCTAATCAAACACCGGATCCTACTGCTCCAATTAAAAAATCCCCCCCCCCACTCCAAATGAAAACCTAATCGTGTAATCAAATCTCCATGTTAAGTAAACAGTTAAAAAACAAATGCCAACTGCAGTTGTAGCCCTAAAGTGTGTACTCTCAAACATGTGGAAATGTTGATTTTGTGAGAAGAGTTCCACACAGGGATATCAAGTTTGTTATGCTAACAAGGACTTAGCGGGCTGTCTACGAAATCAGATGTGATGGTATTTTATGTAATGGGAGTGTGTGGTGTATATGGTGTTTGATGCTGTAGAAGTGTTGTATATGGTATATTATGTAGTGGGTGTATTGTATATGATATATTATGTAGTCGGTGTATTGTATGTGATATATTATGTAGTTTGTGTATTGTATATTTTATGTATTGAGTGTATTGTATATGGTATATTATGTAGTGGATGTATTGTATATTATATATAATGTAGTCGGTGTATTGTATGTGATATATTATGTAGTTTGTGTATTGTATATTTTATGTATTGTGTGTATTGTATATGGTAATTTATATTGAGATAGTGTTGTGTACGGTATTTTATTTATTGAGTGTATTGTATGTGGTATTTATGTAGTGGGTGTATCGCAGAGGCGTAGCGATTGGGGGGGGGGGGTACATATGTCCCCGGGCGCCGACCTTAGGGGGCGCCAAAATGGGTTGTAAAAACAAATTAAAATGTAATTTTAGCTGCATTTTTGCATTATAAACAGTTTGAGCAAGGGGGGGGGGTGCAATTTGAACATTTGCTCCCGAGGCGGCGCCAAATTGAAAGTTTGTCCCCGGGCGCCGGGAAGGGTCGCTACGCCTCTGGTGTATCGTATATGGTATTTTATGTAGTGCGTGTATTTTATTTATTTACATCAACTTTACAAACACATTTGTAAATCAAAATAGTAAAACCCACACAAAAAAAACTTATTATAAAAGTATATTTTCTTTTAATAATTGGCTACGTTCAATGCAGAACAAAGTCAGTTTTCATATTCCTTTTTTTCCCTTGTTAGTTCTCACGCTGATGACGTAACATCCGGTGAGACTTTCCAACAAATCAACCAACAGCAAGCCTGGGTTTATTCCGCCTACATCGACGTGGTCAACGCTAAAATCTCCCTGATTCGGATATTCGCCATCATTAGCTTGAGCCTCACACAACAGGCGTACTGTCTGGTGGAGGAAGGGGGGAGAGTGACCGTCATCAAGGGCGTGTATCGCCCCCTTTTTGATCATCGTTCTATGAGGTAAGTCTAGAGGACATTAGAGGACATTGTCCTGTTACAGCCGTGTATTGGTAGAACAGAGGGGTTTGATGTGGCCATGGGGGTCATAGATAACGATGTGAGGTTCTAATACAACTTTTGAAACCCTGTTATTTACCATATCTATATCTATATCCATACCTACCTACCTACCTACCTACCTACCTACCTACCTACCTACCTACCTACCTACCTACCTACCTACCTACCTACCTACCTATATATATATATATATATATATATATATATATATATATGTAACTAGGGGAAGTTACCAGACATAAGAACGCGGTACAGCGCTGTCAACTTTGACACGACTGATGTAATAACACAGGTGGTGGCTGATAACGATCAGAAAGCCAAGGCGTAGTATCTCGGGAAGCGATACGAAAGGCGGTCTGTCAACTTTGATGTGACAGGATGCAGATGGCTTATTAAATCGGACTGTACAACAGAAGCGGCGTAATTAACATTCTGATACAACGATTACGATTACGATTATGATAGGACCGAATATGAGTACGATTATGAAGGGGATATAAGGAAGGCGACGGCTGAGCTCTCTCTCTCTCTCGCTCGCTCTCGATCAGTCAGTCTGTGTGGCAGTATCAAGTTGGTTATTGAACGGGTTAGCCGTATTGTGTTAAGAAGGATATAGACATGTGTATTCAGTTATATGAAGCCTAGTGAGGACTGTTGGGGGTCCGTTGATTCAGACTATTATTGTGAAACATCTCTCTTGATTCATTATATTATTGTGAAGCATTCTTTGATTCATGTAATAAAAGGATCAATAATGAACCTGCATCTTCGAGTATCTATGCTGTGGTCAATGTTGTGTGGAATGAGTGGTTAGACTCGGGAAGGTCACATTTGGCGTTGTCGGCAGGGTAGCCAGAGACTCGTTACATTTGGCGTTGTCGGCAGGATAGACTCGGGGACTCGTTACATATATATATATATATATATATATATATATATATATATATATATATATATATATATATATATATATATATATATAAGGAAGTCAGAGAGAAAAATGTGTATGTTTGGTGGAAGAGTTTGGTGGCATATTTTGGTGGCAGAGTTTGGTGGCAGAGTTTGGTGGAGGCAGGATAGAATAAACAACACTTGGTCTAGTCCCCCAGATCGAGTTCCTCCCATATGTAAAAAAAAAAGTGGCTCGACCCCTGTGGAGGGGGGGGGGGCAGGAAGTAAATGTTTTGGGTCTAGCACCGGCAGCATTGGTAATAGATCTATTTGTTTTGTCATTTTGTTGCTGGTGTTTGCACTGCTAGAGCCGGTTAGGCTTGTGTATAAGGGCGAGAGTAGTTTCGGTAAATATCAATAAACAACGTAGATTATAGAGAGTAGACAATGTTTGAGTCTACAAAGAAAAGTGGCGTTTTGTTCTATTAATAAAGCAGCGAGCAAACTCTTTTACAAACATTAAAATTTTTGTTCATGCACATAGAATCCAGTTCGTACCACATACAAAATCTCTTAACTCCCTAAAATACCTGGCAGACTCACATAACACCTGAAGTAGTCTGAGTATGCTTCAGACTCCGAATTCGAGCAACACTTAAAGTAGTCTGAGTATGCTTCAGACTCCGAATTCGAGCAACACTTAAAGTAGTCTGAGTATGCTTCAGACTCCGAATTCGAGCAACACTTAAAGTAGTCTGAGTATGCTTCAGACTCCGAATTCGAGCAGCACTTAAAGTAGTCTGAGTATGCTTCAGACTCCGAATTCGAGCAGCACTTAAAGTAGTCTGAGTATGCTTCAGACTCCGAATTCGAGCAGCACTTAAAGTAGTCTGAGTATGCTTCAGACTCCGAATTTGAGCAACACTTAAAGTAGTCTGAGTATGCTTCAGACTCTGAATTCGAGCAACACTTAAAGTAGTCTGAGTATGCTTCAGACTCCGAATTCGAGCAACACTTAAAGTAGTCTGAGTATGCTTCAGACTCCGAATTCGAGCAACACTTAAAGTAGTCTGAGTATGCTTCAGACTCCGAATTCGAGCAACACTTAAAGTAGTCTGAGTATGCTTCAGACTCCGAATTCGAGCAACACTTAAAGTAGTCTGAGTATGCTTCAGACTCTGAATTCGAGCAACACTTAAAGTAGTCTGAGTATGCTTCAGACTCCGAATTCGAGCAACACTTAAAGTAGTCCGAGTATGCTTCTAACTCCGAACTTGAGCAATAGTAGCCTTTCACTCCCTTTCGGAAGTACTCGCATCAGATTGTATACCATGCTATCCTTTATTATACTTTGTAAAGTTATTCCGTCGATAAGACCAAATGTAAACATCCAAAAAAATACCAAACACAACTAGACTAGATGATTTAGGGGAAAACGAAACAAGTGATTTTTTTTTCAGATGAAAATACTTGTGTTGGGTTTTAATTTTTCCCCCTTTATTTCTTGTTGTTACTAGTATGTAATCAATGTTTTCTTTACTTTTCTACCAGATTTTATTCCGGGAACTTCGAGTGTAACCTACAACCACACAAAAAACCCGACTACGTCGCCGTGACGTTCAACACAACACAGCAACCAAACAACAGACTCCGGGTTGTCTACCCTGGCTCAATACTGCGCAACTTCACCGTGTGTCACCCGGCTTTATTTAACTTCAAAAACCCCGGCCAGATTATCCAAGCCATCGAATTCAACCGAATCCTGGGCGCCGAGCATTTTTTTGTCTACAATTACACCATCTCCAAGGCGACGGACGCCGTGTTGAGGCACTACCAGGATCTGGGGTTGTTGACGGTACTACAGTGGCCGCTTCCGACGACGGAGATTTGGTACTACGCTCAAATGGCGGCCGTCAACGACTGCGTGTACCGGAACAGAAACGTGTCGCGGTACGTCGCTATTCAGGACACGGACGAGTTCATTATCCCCAAACGTCACAACAGCTGGAATGACGTCATACGTTCCATCGAAGCGAATCACAGCCGAAGTCAAAATTCCAACGGTAATTTAACCGCAGCGGAGAAGAAAGAAATTGGTTCGTTTATATTCGAGTGCACTTTTTTCTATAATATTACTCCGCCATCTTTTTGGGCGGAAGTGAAGAAAAATTTCAGCATAACAAACGAAGTGGAGGGTTTTCTGAAGAAATACTCCGTGATTCCGTTTCTTCACGTTCAACGCCTGAACAAAACGTTCACACTAAGGTCAAGGACGAAGACCATCGTCCGGCCGGAACTGATCGTCCAGGCCGGAATTCACGGCACTTTCTACCACAAGCCGGGGGCCGAGTACACGCTGGTCAAGAGTGACCTTGCCCTTGTGCATCACTACAACAAGATCGCTAAATCTGGTCTCTATGAGACGTCGGCGTTGAGGTTCACACACCAGGTCTATCCCAGACTCAAATCAGCTTTTGCCAACTTGTCGGCTGTCTTCTAGACCCCCCCCCCCCCCCCACACCCACCGGGAGGGGGCGGATAATATTGAGCTTTACTGCAAAAAGCAAGAAGAATGTATCAGCTTTATTGAATTTGAAAGCTTTCATAAAGTAATAAGGTTGATATTTTCACCCTTTGTGTAAAATGCGGATGTTCTGAGCTTATGTGTAGAGGTTGAATTTTTAGTGTTCGTAAAAACAAATGGTTAATCTTTTCAGTTTTTTGTTTAAACGTTGATATTTTCAGCATTTGTGTCTAGGCTAATATTGTGTTCAGCTATATTGAGGAAGGGGATAATACCCGGATCTTTTTGACCCGAAGAAATTTCTTACATAGGAACTCAACGAGCTTCCAGCTAAAAGCTGAATCTAGTATGGATTGGAGTGTTGGAGATCATAGGTGATCTACTGGTTAAAATAAACACCAACCATTGGGTCACTTATATATATATATATATATATATATATATATATATATATATATATATATATATATATATATATATATATATATATATATATATATATATATATATATATATATTCTGAATAGGGGGCCACACTTTGTTGAATACTCACGATCTGAAATATACTAGGGGTGAATTGTTGACCATGTTGTGATACTTTATAAATATTATTCTCAATTATCTGATTTATTCATTAAATTTGTGTTAAACACAAAATACATACGTATGCATACGCTGATTGTCTGCTCTTTATATATTACTGCAAGCTTTTAAAAAGCCTATACTCGATCTTGTACGAATATCTTTAATCGTGAAATTTGTTGATTTAGTTAATAACGATCGAGATGGTAGCAAATTCAGTTTTTAAATCTTAATTATAGACTTTAAAAAATTATTTCTAGATACTAGTAGGCGGATTAGCATAATGCTGACCACACCATTCCTTCAAATGCCGAGGTCGCTGAAACAGTTGAGCTCGACTTTACCTGCCTCGTGGATCGGAAGGTTTAAAAGGGTACTTTACTTATAAAGTAATACATACAACACATTTTATCACTCTAATGTAACAAACTTTTTACTGTACCAAAATATTTAAAAAAAAATTTGTTTCACCCTTTAGATAGTAAAAATGTCTCCAACACATTTAGCGACCAAATTTGTTATCATCATAATCTAAAGAAAGAAGGTTTTATTTCTCTAAATTTAGGTGTGTTTAAAATTACGTCTTTAAAACTGCTTTCATTGTAATACGATACCGCTAACGTCGATGTTTATCGCAGTATAGTTCTCGTATACAGCGCTGCATCGACGCACCAAAAAACAACCCCAAACATTTGTTTGAATTCGGGGACATCAATCACCGACATTGACACCTAACCCCGTGCTGCAATTGTTCTGGCAAGATAGCATCTGAGTTCAACCCTCCCCCGACCCTCCCCTTAACTCCCCTTCAATCCTAACAGCACACCCCTTACAAAACAAACATCTAGATCAGTGGTTATTAACATTTTAGAATGTACACCACCCTTCGAGTTCATTTTTGCTTTCACGGAACCCCACTTAATAGTTCTATCTTTTTCACTGACAAAATCCGATCGTGAATCATATTAGTCGGTTTTTGTGTGTCTTGACCTCCACCGAACCCCTTAGACGGTCTCACTAACCCTTGGGATTCGATCTAAAGCAAGTTAAGACCCACTGATCAAGGAATGAATATGAGTTAAATCAACTCACTACACCTTCACTGTCAATCTCTCTCTCTACCCCTCTCTCTCTACCCCTCTCTCTCTCTACCCCCTCTCTCTCTACCTCTCTCTCTATACCCCCTCTCTCTCTACCCCCTCTCTCTCTCCCTCTCTCACTCTACCCCCTCTCTCTCAACCCCCCCCCCTCTCTCTCACCCCCCCCCCCTCTTTCTCTGGAGAAGGGAAGCAAAGGTCAGCACTCCGACACCGCTATCCGAGATTTCTGATTCTAACATGACAGGCCTTGCATTCTTTTTTTAAAGCCTTTCGTGTGTCTGTTATGTTTGAGTGTGGCATTGTCGCCTGATTAAATAAATACTGGCACCTCGCAGCAAATAAGATAACCTGATCCGGTGGAGTCAGGTAAAAATTGTTTTAAAAAAAGTTTATAATTTAAAGTAGAACGGTTATATATTATTGTGTGTCACTTTCATTTGGGATAATGTCATGTCATGTCATGTTTGCCTGTCGTCCCTACTGGGACATAGGCCGCTGACAAGAGCTTTCCAGACGTCTCTGTCCAGGGCTAGTCTCTCCAACTGTCCCCAGGTGTATCCAATCTTCTTGGTGTCTTCTTCCAGGTCACGTCTCCAGGTCTTTCTTGGTCTGCCTCTCTTCCTCCTGCCTTGTGGATTCCAGGTGAGGGCCTGTCTTGTTATGCTGGATACAGGCTTCCTGAGTGTGTGGCCAATCCATTTCCATTTTCTCTGGAGGATCTCTACTTCCACTGGCAGTTGATTTGTCCGTTGCCATAGAACATCATTTCTGATGGTTTTAGGCCAGCGAATTCGCAGGATCTTTCTGAGACATGCGTTTATAAATGATTGTATTTTCTTCTTATTTATAGCAGTTATTCTCCATGTCTCAGCTCCATAGAGTAAAACAGGTTTTACTAGTGTGTTGAAGATCCGGATTTTTATTCTAAGGGTTAAATCTCCCGAACCCCAAACATTTTTTAGTTGGTTGAAGTAGGGCAAGCTATTTATAATGTAGGGATAGACTATTGATAATATAGGGATAGGCTATTGAAAATGTAGGCATTTTTTGTTTTGGGATAATGTATTGTATAATTGGAATAGTAATAATGTACAATTAATGTAGTTGCAATATTGCAATAATTTACGAAAATATTTAAGTTAATAGTCTCGGATAATGTATCATCGGTATAATCATACCCTAGGAAAATTGTAGAAATAATGTTGGGATATGGTATCTAGATTGTTAGGGAAAAGCTTGGATCACGCTTGGAAAATTAAACACAAATATGAAATAATTATCATTAAAAAAGTTTTAAAAAACCCACGTTTTCTGATTGAACTAAAAAGTAGAAAATAAATACTATACATCACAATAATGCAAGCGATCACTCTACTATAAGCGATGAAAAGCGTGGGGCGCCGAAGTAAAAGTTTTTTATCAGTCATTGTTAATATAAGATGTAAAAGTTATATTACTATTGATTAGATAATACTATTGACTTTTATTAGGGAGCTTGTAGAGAGTCAACAGTATTAGAAACTGTAAGAAAATCACGGCGCCCCACGTTTTTCATCGCTTATAGTAGAGTGATCGCTTGCATTATTGTGATGTATAGTATTTATTTTCTACTTTTTAGTTCAATCAGAAAACGTGGGTTTTTTAAAACTTTTTTAACACGTTTTTAAAACGTTTTTAACACGTTTTTCTTAACTCAGCTTCGCGTTTGTTTGTTTGTTTGGATGTTTGTTGTTAAAATTGACATCGAAAATTAGCCCACTTCTGATTGCTCTATAGATCTGAAATTTGGCATGCAGGCTACTTTCGCCTAACAATTTCAGATGCAATCATAAAAACTAGCAATTAGAGACCGTAATTAGCTTAATTTAATTACGCCCCAAGGACCATAAAATTGAGGACATGATTTCTAAAGATACCGACAAGACTGGAGGCCTATTGACGCAGTTACTTCGGCCCCAATCGATGTGAGCGCGCTGGCCGTGATCGTATAGTGGTTAGTACTTCGCGTTGTGGCCGCGACAACCCAGGTTCGAATCCTGGTCGCTCAAGATTTTTAGTCCGTGTATTTATAAACACTTAGTCAAGTCATACTTAATCAAGTCATTAGATAAAGTAGAAAATAAACTATATAAAAAACTTTTTTAAAAACCACGTTTTTCATGTGAAGCAACGGACTAAAAAGGAGAAAATAAAATACTTAAAAAAAACTTTTTAAAAAACCACGTTTTTCTTGTGGACTAAAAAGTAGAAAATAAATTTTTCTTTTGTGCTTCCTCGAGCTGTGCAGATTCTTGTGATGACTGACAAAAAACGTGGGTCGGGCAGATGGGTCGGGAAATTTGATGGTGAACGTACCCACGTTTTTTGTCAGTCATCACAAGAATCTGCACAGCTCGAGGAAGCACAAAAGAAAAATTTATTTTCTACTTTTTAGTCCACAAGAAAAACGTGGTTTTTTAAAAAGTTTTTTTTAAGTATTTTATTCTTAACTCAGCTTCGCGTTTGTTTGTTTGTTTGGATGTTTGTTGTTAAAATTGACATCGAAAATTAGCCCACTTCTGATTGCTCTAGAGACCTGAAATTTGGCATGCATTCTACTTTCGCCTAACAATTTCAGATGCAATCATAAAAACTAGCAATTAGTGACCGTAATTAGCTTAATTTAATTACGCCCCAAGGACCATAAAATTGAGGACATGATTTCTAAAGATACCGACAAGACTGGAGGCTTATTCACACAGTTACTTCGGCCCCAATCGATGTGAGCGCGCTGGCCGTGATCGTATAGTGGTTAGTACTTCGCGTTGTGGCCGCGACAACCCAGGTTCGAATCCTGGTCGCTCAAGTTTTTAGTCCGTGTATTTATAAACACTTTTTTAAAAACCACGTTTTTCATGTGTAGCAACGGACTAAAAAGGAGAAAATAAAATACTTAAAAAAAACTTTTTAAAAAACCACGTTTTTCTTGTGGACTAAAAGGTAGAAAATAAAATTTTCTTTTGTGCTTCCTCGAGCTGTGCAGGTTCTTGTGATGACTGACAAAAAACGTGGGTCGGGCAGATGGGTCGGGAAATTTGATGGTGAACGTACCCACGTTTTTTGTCAGTCATCACAAGAACCTGCACAGCTCGAGGAAGCACAAAAGAAAATTTTATTTTCTACCTTTTAGTCCACAAGAAAAACGTGGTTTTTTAAAAAGTTTTTTTTAAGTATTTTATTAATGATAATTATTTTCTACTTTTTAGTCTTTGTCTGTTTGTTTGCATTAAAATCTTGCTATCGATTTTATCTTTTCGCAT